TTTACCGTCTTGTTTGTATTAGTTAATATATTATATTATTAAAGATTTGTTTTAATTATATTTTGAAATATTATAATTGATTAATTTTTTTCAAGATACCCTTTTTTGGTTATTTTACATTCTTATCAGCTAGTTCAGTTAAACATGATTTGTTCATCAGTTAGTTTATCAGCTACCAGCTAGCTTACTAATTAGTTTGCCAAACATATCCTTAATCACAACTCATTGTTTTTTTCCAAAAATACAACTATCCAATGATTGAGTCTTAGACATATCACTAACATATCTAACACAGGTGGTGATGGTGGAGACGCAAGTGGTGACTACTCGTGACAGAGAAAGAAACAATCATGGAGAAGAGGCAAAAGAGGCGACAAAATGTTCTGAAAGAAGTCTGAAATATATATCTTTTCTGATTCGTAAAACGAGGAAAAATTATCCTTTTCTTAACTTGTTTGATGGTTTTGTGTGGAACAAAAAGGTTCGTGTTTCTTCTGCACCATGTCCCAAGTCCATGTCATGTCAAATGTAAGATAAAGACTTTTCTCATGCCTTGTTCCTTTCAGCTATATACCAAATGCACGCTTAAGTGAGAAAAACACTGATCCATGAATAAAAGCGTAACCAAAGGGCCTTTGACTTGAACATTTATATAGAGGTAAGAGTTTCAACCTCACCAAAAATGACGTGTACATGTGAATTTCATTTCTGTATATAAATCGGTAAAAGCTCAGAAAAACACAATGAACTTTTCTATTTTGAATAGTTAAGTCTCCCAAAAAAAATTGAATGAAGAAAACAATAACTTTCTCATTTGAATGATTAAGTTCATTAACAAATTTTTGAATAAATAAATCATTGAACTTTTAGAAACTGGTTACCTGCATCGTTTTAGCCCAGAAAAGCTAGATGTAACCGGATAAGAAGGTTTTAAAGTAAAAGAAAATCTATATCAGTTTTATCGTTCCCAAACCTTAAGCCATTCAAATCCCTTGTACCTAACGACATCGCTCTCCATCGCCACCCCTTGTTGACTCATCATCATCTGCTCTCTATACTGCCCATTACCGTCATTAACCCCTGCCATCGATCTCCCTTTTTTGATCTTTTTTCGTCTTTCAGTTCTCCATTTTTACAATAATTTAATGAAGTACAAATATACTATCCAAAGAATAATAAAAAAAAACAAAAAAATCGATCAAAAAGATGGAGATCGATTACAGGGCCCAACGATGGTGATGGACTGTGATAAAGAGCAGACGATAATGGGGCGGTGAGGGTGGCGAGAGGGGGCAACAATGGTGTTGAGTGCAAGAGGTTTGAATAATATAGAGTTTGAGAACGGTAAAACTAATTTAAGTGTTTTTTTACTTTAAAAACTTAGTAGCCCATTACAAGTAGTTTTTTTGGATCAAAATAATGTAGATAACGAATTTCTAAAAACTCAGTGATTTATTTATTTTTACAAAAAATGTTCAGGAACTTAATCATTTAAAACGAGAAAGTTTAATAATTTTTATTAAAAAAATTCATGAAATTAAATATTCAATATAAAAAAATTAAATTAAAATTTTTAAAACTTATGTATCGAGATACATCTTGATTTTAATATTTTATTTTATTTTTTTATTTCAGTCGATGTTATAACATGATCTTATGTGATTTTGAGAAAACRATGATGTTTTTATTTTTGAATAAAATATAAATTTAAAATATCATAAAAAATTGATAAAAATATATCGATATTAATATCAAATTAAATATTTAAAATTTCTTATTTTTTTTGTAATTTTTTGTTATAATTTAATTTAGGTACAATAACAAAGTAATTTTCTTATAAAGATAATAATTAATTATTTTATTAGAACTCGATAATTATCTTAATTACATTTTAGATTTTTTATATTTTAAAATAAAATGTTTATCCTTTATTTGATTATGTTTATCCGCAGTTAGTTATACGAATTCAAACATCAAGCTTTAATAAGTTGTATTTATGCATAATTTMCTTGTAATCTTGAATTTTAAATAATATGCATCAATATACATTACTTTATGCATAAAAAATGGTTTTTAAGAGTTTTTGTCAAATGCTTTATAATATAGTATAGATAACAGTAGTTTAAAAAAATTAGTAAATAGAAGAGATATAAAAAAAATAGTATCTAATAGTATTAGAAAAGATTTTGATACTAAATTAACTATTAGAGATCAAAACATGTATCAATTAAATATATTGAAGAAGAAAATACATAAAAAAGTTAATTTATTATTTATTATATAATATTGTTTAATGTTTCTTTAAGTTTTTTTAATCTAATAACGACGTCTAAAACTACTTGTCCCGAAAACTTTCATATATTCTCCATAATTCATCTCTTATCGACTCTTTTGATTATTCCGTCATCGCGTGAATTCTATTTTTATATTAAAATATAGTAGATTTTTTTGTTATTAGCTAACAAAATCCCCATCTTTTGAAAAAATTACCAACCGTATGAGACGGTACAACTTATATTTATATTTAGAATAATAAAACTATAATTGTTTTTTTCATTCTTGTTATTTATTATCTAATATTAATTGCATAAATGTTATGTACTTTTGTATCTCTAAAAGAAAATAAGATCTCAAACTATAACCAAAATTAGTTTTTTTATTTATAAGATTGATGATTCCAGAAAAGTTTGTTTTAACCCTAATGCTATGTTCTTGAATTTACTTTTACAAAGGAAAATAATGAAGGAAAAAAAATATTTTGTTACAAGATTTTTTTAGGGAAAGAAAAGAAAAAGAAAAGGAAAGAAAAAAAAAAGAAATTATATTAAAATTTATTTTTATTTTATTATTTTTCTTTTTCCTCTCTTCCTTGTCAAACACAAATAAAAAACTTTATTTTTTCTTTTCCTTTTCTCGTTCTTTTTTTTCCTTCCCAAATTCAAGAACATAGTATCAAAGTTTAAAATGGTGTTAAAAACCATTAACATGAGGTGACATGGAAAGACAACCTATTTACATTGATTTATATAGTGTTGCTTGAAAATCAGAAAAATTAACATTGTGACCTCAAATTATGTCATTCCATGTACCAAACATATATCGTAGGATGTTTTTGATGATGGAACAAATTGAAGATGCTCCACAAAAATGTTTTAATAGATAATATTAACTTAGAAGTGATTATTGATTGATTTTACGTCTAGGAATATTCGGGAAAACGGTTTTTATATGAATTCAATGTTATTTATGATGATAAAAACAACATATTGAAAAAAATATTTTCACATCTCACATAAGGCCTAAAAAATGTCAAGAATGAGCCTGTTTGTAGCATGTCAAACGGGTTTGCAAAACGTGTCGTCGGATCAACCCATAAATATTTTTATTAAAAAATCAATTGATATTAGAGTAAATTACACTTTCCGTCCTTGTGGTTTGTTAAAAGTTATAATTTTCGTTCTTGTGGTTTAGATATTACGATTTTCATCTCTATAGTTTATAAATCATTGCTAATTTTCACCATTAAAAATCTATAATCTATTGTTGTTTTAGGGGTTGTTCATTTACCTCTTAATAGTTATATTAAGAAACAACCTCTGAATTGTTAAGAAGAAGTGAACCTTGTTTGACAAAAAAAAAGTTTGTCTCTTATGGTTCTAAAAACCCTCTAAATGATTTTGTATTTTAGGTCTCCCTCAACCATTCAACACTCTAATTCCATTCAACCAAATAGTTATATTTCATTTTGCACTATATCTATCATGAGAGTTTTTTTTATCATTTTGCATTAAACTATTCAGCAACTACCATAACAATAAATTACAAACCATAGCAATAAAAACTATAATTTCTAAACCATAGGGATAAAAATCCCAAACTTTTAACAAACGATTGGGAAGAAAAATGTACTTTTGTGTTGATATTAAAAAAGTTTGTCATAATTTTTGCCACAAATTTTAGCATCCACAATCTTCGGAGAGAATTCGTGTCTGAAACTCTCTCCCCTCTCCAATGCCCGGTATTTTCTCCTACTTGTTTGAAAATGTAATCCACCTGTTTCTTTAACTCTTCTTTTCCCTCTTCCATTTCTATTCTCACACAAATTCATTTCAGATCTGTTTTTGATTTGGGGTTCTTTCATCTAACTTTCTTGGGGTTAATCCACCGTTAAAAAGAAAAGAACCCATCAATCTGCTACACCCTTGTTTTGTTTGAACAAATCTCTGATTGATTATCTATTGTTCATAAGCAGGTAAATCCAGGTCTCAACGTATTTAATTGTTATGGGTTTTCTATCATCTGTATGTGGTTTTGAGTAATTGTAGTTTAGGGATTTGAATTGGGTTTCATGAATCATTTGTAAGAATTCAACTTCTGATTTCCATAATTCAACCTCAAGTTCTTGATTTGAAGTTCATACAGACAATTTTTCTGAATCAATTTGAAGTTTATTGATGGATATTGAGTAGTAATAGTGGCTTCTTTCCCTTTTTGCTTTGAATGGAGTTCTTGTTGTAATTGTCATTGTAATTGCCATTCTTGCTTAATTTCCCTTGATTCTGGATAGAAAATCTTGATCTATAACATGCCATTTAACAATTTGTGGTTTGATTTTGAATGATTTGATCACTGCAATCCATGTCCTTTGAGAATTGATTTGGTCTCCTTTCAACATATTTATTGCAGGAAATTGATCCAAAACTTGTTAAAGAATAAGAGAAAGCTAATTAAAGCTTTGAAAGGAGGCTCCAATTTCCACCCTTTATCTCCAGATTTTCTGATTCTCTTATTATTATTATTATTATGAAACTGTAGTTTGTAGCATCCTCTCTATGTTTGAGAAATAGAAATGGATTTGACTGAAGGGTACATGTCAAATGAGCATAAGGAACAACTTCATGCTGCTTCAGAAAGTGCGGATCCGTCATCTGTTTCTCCATTGAGAATCTCTACATCTCCCAAATCACCAAAGCTTCGTTATGGTAAAGAAAGCCCGATCAAAGGGAGCCCTACAAAGGGCATTAGTCCAAAGAAAAATGACCGGCATTCGCATTCTGGAACTGATGGCCGTCCTAAGAAAGGTATAGCAGATCTTACTCATGTCGCTGCATTTTAGAGCTTATCGTTCGATATTAACTTTATATAAGTCTTACCCCACTTTTAGGATCGATGGTCACACATGCACACAAACGGTAGTTGTAGGAAATAGAAGATTAACTAAACCAAACAAGCCCGGTATTTCCCACCCGAATGTGGGGTTGGAAAGGGGGGGGGGGGTTGAGATGTATGAAGACCTGACCTCCACCCAAAGAAAAAACCATGTGCTATGGCTCGAATCCGTAGTCAATCCCCGATCGAATTGATCGGGTCATGTAGGAATAGGAGTGGCTGTTTCTGTAAAGACCCCTTTACTTGTGCGTAGTGTGGGAAAAAAAGAACATAAGAAGAAATTACGAAAAGGGAAACTTGAAAACAAGAAGTGCTAAAATTTGAAAAACGAGTTAGAATTAAGCAACCAAAAATCAAACGGACAAACAAACAAGACATACAAACAGAAGCAGATACATGAAAACGAAGAAGAGATGAAGACAATATATGGTCGTTGCTAGAATTCTTATTTTATTTCGTGAACCATGTAATTCATATAAAACAGTGAACCGAAAATGCAATATGGATAATACTATCACGCTGCATTTGCCCCACTTAGATTTTTCTTGGAAGGTTTTTCAGTACCAACTTTAAATGGAAATGATTGAAGTGCCACCTCTACTCTTTAGATAGAAGTGCCACCTCTACTCTTTAGATAGAGGTCAGGTCTACGTACATCCCCACCCGATCCCACCTCCAAGTGGACATACATACCGGGCTTGTTTGGTTTATTGATTTAAAATGATAAACGCCATCAACATAATCTTTATGTGATGGGGAAAGTTTTTGTTTTCCCCATAAGGCCACACCGTGCACAAGTCGCTCTACTCTTCGGGTGGGGGTCAGGTCTGCATACATCTCACCCCCCTTCCACCCTACCTTCAGGTAGGATATACTAGGCTTGTCTGGTTCCATTTTTTGGTTTTAGTTTCATGTGTGTGATGCTTCTCAATTAATGGAATGCATTTCCTTCGTTTCTTTTTTCACGCAAGGGCGTTTTTCCTTCATCGTGTTCAACATTGATATCTTTGTGCAGGTGGTTGTGGGGGAAAAGGAACATGGGGAGGATTACTTGATATGGATGATAATCACTTTATTGACAGTAATGATCCAAACTATAGTAGTAGTGAGGTTTGTGTATCATTCTTCTTGTCTCTTTTCGCCATTTTCATTCAACAAATTGCCCGAAAAATCTTTAGCTTTTGGAAATATTGGAGAAGTTCACCCATTGTGACCGTTTAAATTAGGGCTGTTTTGCTCAATGACCTTCTCTAGAAGCCGGTTTTGCAAAATGACCCTCTAGTGTGTATCTAAGTTTTTACGAAAGCAAACTGTTTTTAATCCGGGCTAGTGGGTCATTTAGCTATATAACCGTAAATGAGATTTTAATTAGATCCATGACCTTCTGGCCTATTAAAGAAAAAATGGCTTCATACTCGTCAGAAGGTCATGAATTTGATTAAAATCTCATTTAAGGTTATATCCCCTGTTTTGAACCAGGGGCAGGTCAGATAAAGGTCATTGAGCTAAAAAAATTAGGTCATGCTCGTAATGAAAAATTCAGTTAAAGTCATTTATCCAAAGGACTCGTTTAAATTAGGAGTGTAACCGGTTTTGGGGTAACTTAGCTAAATGACCTCCTGACAGTTGTTTTTTTTAAATCCATAACCTTTTGACAGGTTTATAGGCATTCCTGTGTAGGGAAGTGGTACAGTGGCATTCCAAACATGTCAGAAGGTCATGGATTTAGAAAAAAACATGTTAGAAGGTCATTTAACCAAAGGACCGACAGTTTTGGCTGACGGGTTTGGTCCAATTTCGTGGTGCTTATGGTTTTGAATCGTTACTAAATGTGAGGTTACTGCTATCTTTTTAGGAGAACGATAAATCCGTTAGAAAAGTTTGTCCACGATTTGAGGAGTACAAGAAGAAGGCTGCAATTATAGTCGAAGAATACTTCGCCACTGATGATGTTGTCTCGACTGCAAATGAGTTAAAAGACCTTGAAATGGCAAGTTACAGTTACTATTTTGTGAAGAAACTCATCTCCATGGCTATGGATAGGCATGATAAAGAGAAAGAAATGGCAGCCGTTCTTTTATCGTCGCTCTATGCTGATGTTATCGATCCCCGACAAGTTTACAAAGGTTTCCGGAAGCTTGTGGAATCCGCGGATGATTTGATTGTAGATATTCCGGATACTGTTGATGTTCTAGCGTTGTTCATAGCTCGAGCAGTGGTGGATGACATTCTACCGCCTGCATTCTTGAAGAAGGAAATGGATGCTTTGCCGAGTGGCTCGAAGGGCATTGATGTCATTAAACGAGCGGAAAAAGGTTATCTGTCGGCCCCACTTCATGCGGAGATCATAGAGCGGCGGTGGGGTGGTAGCCGGAATAAAACCGTTGAGGATGTGAAAGGGAAGATCGATAATCTGTTGGTGGAGTATGCGGTGAGCGGTGATAAGAAGGAAGCGCTCAGATGCATCAATGATTTGAAAGTTCCGTTCTTCCATCACGAGATCGTTAAGCGGGCGATCATTATGGCGATGGAACGAAAGAAAGCCGAGGGTAAACTTCTTGATTTGTTAAAGACGGCTTCGGAAGAATGTTTGATAAATTCGAGCCAGATTTCAAAAGGGTTTACTCGAATTATTGATACGATCGATGATTTATCGCTCGATATACCAAATGCTAAGGAATTACTACAATCGTTGATCTCGAAAGCTGCATCGGAAGGGTGGTTGTGCGCTTCGTCGTTAAAAGCCGTGTCATTTCAGCCCGAAAAGAAATTGGTCGAAGATAGCATCGTGAGAGCGTTTAAAGCAAAAGCGCAATCTATAATTCAAGAATACTTTTTGACAGGCGACGTTTTGGAGGTAAATAGTTGTTTGGAATCGGAAAATCTTTCTTCGATCCCGGAACTGAAAGCGATTTTCGTCAAGCGGCTGATTATGCTGGCAATGGACCGGAAAAAACGAGAAAAGGAAATGGCATCGGTTTTGTTGTCGTCGTTATATTTTCCGGCGGATGATGTAGTGAATGGATTCACGATGTTGATAGAATCCGCAGACGATATTGCTTTGGATATTCCGGTGGTCGTGGAAGATCTCGCAATGTTTTTGGCTCGAGCGGTGGTGGATGACGTATTGGCTCCGCTACACTTGGAGGAAATCGGTGGCGACTCTTTACGGCCGGATTCGGTCGGAAACCAAGTTCTGAAAATGGCACGTTCGCTTCTGAACGCTCGGCTTTCCGGCGAGCGGATCTTGCGGTGCTGGGGTGGCGGCGGAAGTTACACAAACGGATGGGCGATTGAAGATGTAAAAGATCAGATCGGCAAACTTCTGGAGGAGTTCGAGTCCGGCGGCGACACACGGGAAGCGTGCCGATGCATAACGGAGCTCGGGATGCCGTTTTTCCACCACGAGGTCGTTAAGAAGTCGTTGGTGACGATTATCGAGAAGAAGAACGATCGGCTTTGGAAGCTGCTCGATGAGTGTTTTAACATGGGGCTTATAACTCCGACTCAGATGACGAAAGGGTTCGGGAGGGTGGCGGAATCGCTCGATGATTTGAGTTTGGATGTGCCCGACGCTAAACAGCAATTCGGCGCGCTGGTCGAACGGGCTAGGGCGCATGGATGGTTGGATTCGTGGTTTAGTTTCAGCAAAGGACCGCATCCGATGGAAAATGGGTTTCATTCTTGAATCAACCGTGGGTCAATGGAATTTTCATGTAGTTTTACCATTGCTTTTAGTTGAGAACACAAATATTTGGAAAAATCGGCAATAAAATTTTCGAACTTTACGATGTTAAGGATGTGATGATTCTAGGAAGAGTAAAGGGGTGTTTGGGATTGCTTATAAAAATAATTTATTGACTTATTCTGGTGTGGTACCAGTAATAAGCATTTTTGAGTGTTTGGATAAGCAAGTTATACCGGTGTCAAACTAGTAATAAGAAGTTCTTTGAAGAAGTTAAACTCTTTTGACTTATAATAAGTTGATAAGTGTTTTTGTAGAAAAACATAAGTCGTTTCAAATAAGCAATCCCAAACACCCCCTAAACTACGATTATCGTCTATGTGGTTTTGTTAAAAATTGTTAGTGTTTTTAAAAATATATTTATCTACAGTTGGAGTCAGTTACACGAATTCAAATATGGACCTTAATAAGTTGTACTTATGCAAAATTTACTTGTAATCTTGAATTTTAAGTAATATACATCAATAAACGATATTTCATATATAAAAAATGGTTTTTAAGAGTTTTTGCTCACCAAAGTGTATTTCCTTTTTCTTTCTCACTCCCCTTTATCAGAAAAAGAAAATACGCTTTGATGAGCAAGAAGCAGCCAGGGATAGGGGAAGGGGCAGCCCCTTCTTCATATGCAACCAATTAAACTCATTGAAATCAAGGGCTTGTTTGTTTTTTTTTTAAAAAAAACTTTTAATACCTCTTAAGTCTGAATCGGTCAGACGTTTTTATTTTTAGACCGTTTGATTTTTTTTAAATAAGAGTTGAAAACCTCTTATAGTACTCTGAATTTTTAAGTGGTAGTCTAAACCCTTAATGGACTCCTATGCACACATGAGGACACCATATTGATCTCTCTCTCTCTCGTTTGATCTCTAGCTACCAAATCATACCGATCTATCCACGTCATACGATCTGGACACCATATCGATCTCTCGCTCAGTCTCAAGCTATCGATCTATCCAAATCAATCTCTCCTATATATGAGTTATTTTATGAGTATGATCAAACCAACGAGCAAGGGGATGATGACGACACAATTAATGCAAAATGAATATTGGTGCTAGTCGTTATGAGACTTTGTTCGTGTTTATATTGATTCAGACTTCAGATGTAAAAACAAACAGTTTGATTGATTCAGATTTCAGACTTCAGCACCACCTCTTATAAATCATAAGTGAAATCAGACTTCAGCACCACCTCTTATAAATCATAAGTGAAATCATACTTCAGCACCATCTTTATAAATCATAAGTGAAATCATACTTCAGCACCACCTTTATAAATCATAAATGAAATCAGACTTCAGACTTCAGCACCTCTTAAAAAACAAACAACACCCAAATGTGTAAGAGTGAGAAATAATATTTTATTAAATGTATTGAATATTTTATTAATATAATTAATGTTAGACTTGCTAAAATAGAATAGCTGTTGGAGTTGGATGCATTTTTTTTTTTTTTTAAATTCTAACATTTCATACTCTATTATATAAAAATTTAACAAAACTGTTAGAGATGCTTTCACACGATTAAATTTATAGTGTTTAATCCACGTCATATTTTCAAAAAGTGAAAATTCAAATAAATAGAATATTATAATATACGATATTTATAAAAAAAAAATAGGTATAAACTTAAATTTTATGTTTCCCTTCAATTTCAAGACTTAAGTTAGAATACTCTCCAAACAACCTCTCCCATTATTTAAATCTATCGAGTATAATCTATATTTATATCTATATATCTATATTATATTATAAATTATTTAACAAAAAAATTTAAAAACCATTTTTTATGCATAAAGTAATGTTTATTGATTCATATTACTTAAAATTTAATATTACAAGTAAATTGTGCATAAGTACAACTTATTAAATCTTCATATTTAAATTCGTGTAACTAACTGCAGATAAACATAATCAAATATTGGATAAACATATCAATTTAAATATAAAAATCTAAAATATAATTAGGATAAACATTGAGTTATAACAGATTACTTAATCATTTTCCTTATAAAAAACTATTAAATCAAAAATAAATTACTTCATTATTAAATTTAAATTAAATTATAATAAAAAAATAAATTAAAGAAATTACACAAAAACAAAAAAACAAAAAAAATTTAAATAGTTAATTTGATACTAATATTTATATATTTATTTTYRAAATTTTATGATATMTYCAWATTTATATTTTATTCAAAAATAAAATCATTATCTATTTCTCAAAACTATATAAAAAACATATTAAAATATCCACAAAGACGGAATAAAACAAAACATTCAAATCATGATAAATCTCGTTGCATTGCACGAGTACCTTTCTAGTTATATTATAAAGCATGTGATGAAAACTCTAAAAAATATTTTTTATGCATGAAATATTGTTTATTGATGCATATTACTTAAAATTCAATAAAATTTTATGTAAATACAACTTATTAAAACTTTTTCTTTGAATTCGTGTAACTGACTACAGATAAATATAATCAAATGCAGAATAAACACCTCATTTTAAATATAAAAAATTAAAATATAATTAGGATAATCATTGAGTTTTAATAGAATATTTAATTATCCTCCTTATAAAAATTGTATCATTAAACAAAAATAAATTACTTTATTATTAAATCTAAATTAAATTATAATAAAAAAATTGAATTAAATAATTACATAAAAATGAGAATTTTTAAATTGTTAATTTAATACTAATATTGATACATTTTTTTCAAATTTATATTTCGTTCAAAAGTAAAAATATTAATCGTTTTATAAAACCACGTAAAACCGTATTATATCGACAGAAAGAATGAATAAAACGAAATATTAAAATCGAAATATATTTCGCAGCATCACGCGAGTACCTTTTTAGTTATATTATAAAACATTTGACAAAATTTCTTAAAAACCATTTTTTATGCATGGAATACTGTTTATTGATACATATTACTTAAAATTCAAAATTACAAGTAAATTGTACATAAGTACAACTTATCAAAGCTTCATATTTGAATTTGTGTAGGAAACTGCAGATAAACATAATCCAGAGGATAAACATCTTATTTTAAATACAAAAAAATCTAAAATATAATTAAGATAATCATTGAGTTCTAACAAAATACGTAATTATTATCTTTATAAAAAAATATATATTATTCTGAATATAAAAATTCTAAAATATAATTAGAATAATTATTGAGTTTTAACAAAATAATTAATTATTATCATTATAAAAATTATATTATTAAACCAAAAATTTTAAAAAAATACTAAAAGAAGAATTTTTAAATAGTTAGTTTGGTACTAATATCAATATTTTTTTCAATTTTTTATGATATCTTCATATTTATATTTTATTCACAAATAAAAACATTACGCTTTCTTAAAACCACATAAAACCGTATTATAACATCGATTGAGACAAATAAAATAAAACAAAACATTAAAATCAAGATGTATCACGCTGTATTGTGTGAGTACCCTTCTAGCATAATAATAAACTTGTTTAATGAAAAATAAAAATGATAAAAAGACCATATTACCCCTAATTTAACCAACTTTTTTTAATTACGTTAGTCAAATGAACAAAAAGTGAAACAAATTGCAAAACCATAGAACCACAACACAAATGACAATTTTCAACAAATCACAGGGACAAAAAATGTGATTTTCCTTGCATATTATATAGTTCCAACAAAATCATAAATTATAGGGCTGGGTTCGTATTAAAAATATCATTTTCATTGAGAAGTGTGAAAAAACAACATTCATATGATATATTATATATGTGAAGGTACTCTTATATTGTGTGAAGTGTATGAAAGTGACCAGAACGTGATGACGATATACACTTAGATCCTGGAACCTTAAACACCTTCACAGGATATTACATAATCTTCACTCCTTCTCATCAAAAATCTTTTTTCTCATGTGACGTGGTGTTTGATTCACAAAATGGAATTTATCAGAACGGAAATACATCAAGGGAATTGGAATCTGAAAAAATTGGAATGAAATTTAACCAAGTTTGACTGAACGAAGATAATAGTAGTGGTGGGGTAGGGCGGTAGTGGTGTCGATGGTAGTGGCCATGACTGTGGTAACATTGGTGATGGTTGTGTCGGCAACCGTGGTAACATCGATAGTTGTGTCGACGACAGTGATAACAACGTTGGTTGTGTCGACGACAGTGACTGACAACCATCATGGTGCGATGGAGTAAATATAACGTTTCTTAAAATATGAGATGAAAGAATTTGAATTCCTTGCTACAACACAAAGTTTGCATTCTGTCAAGTGGAATTCAAATTCTTAACCGAAACTCAGATAATGAATAATTGCATGAACGGGATTTGATCAATAAAATTAATCATTTCAATTACTTCTGATTCCAACATAAATTCATCTTTTCACATAATGATAGAAATTCAAAATAAAGGTGTAATTTTCTTTTCTTTTTTTAAACAAGGATGTAGATGAAAGAACACAAGGACCAGAGACGGACATACAGTGCTGTCACCGTATTATTCCTCCGTCAAATGGTTAAAAAAATCAGATTCGTAAAAGGTGCAACCGTATTAACTTGTTATGTGTCACCGTATATATTTTGAAACTACAATTACAATAAGTTTTATTTGGTAAGATTTTTGTTCCACTCCAGACCTAAATTCGGATTCTGTTAGTGTCATTTTCTTAGTCAAATGATGTCACTGTTTGGAAATAAATTCCATATATTTACTTCTTATAGTCAAACGGTGTCATCGTTTGAAATCTTTTTCCTATATATTTTTCTTATAATCAAATGATGTCACCGTTTGAAAAAAATTCTATGTCCCCTAATACATAACTAAAAGAAATATTGACATAATCTGCAACACATAAGAAGTTAATAAGACATAAAAAAAACAAATCATACAGCTAAAACAAACACCACCTCAACTAATCTAAATCAATATAATTTTTGGATTAAAAAACATATTCATGACCATGATTATAATTATAATCAGAGCATGAAATTTAATGTAAAAGGATGGTTATCATGTCTTCAACGACAACTTTCTTTAGAAAAATAGTCTTCCAACTCTAATAGATATAATTTCTTGAGCTCAACAAAAGACATGAAATTAATCCCTTCCTAGATTATTTAAATAATCCCGACATTTAAGTTGAAACCGAATCATCGATTAATGGGAGTTTGCATACGCTCCACGATCTTGTTAACAGCATCACGAGACATTACCAACGTATCATGCAGAAGGATGCTGTATACGTTCAAACCCTGGAAAAAACCGCAAGAAAACCACATATACCGTATAAATTAAGACCTATGAATTGGAAACTTTAAATGGCCACAACAAATAAGAGGTACCTTAGGAATATGTATAAATGTTGCATAAATATTATGTCAACAAAGCCGATTGGGTAAACTATTTGTTTCATATCTACATTAGCAATATGCAGAATGGTTCGAATAAGAAAGGCAAAAAGGTTGAGAGCGTACGAACAAGTGATTCATATGTCCATCATTGGTAAAAAGAAACATGGATTCACAAATGCATCTTCATATGTGAAGAATTGGTAAAAAGGTAGGTAAGCAAACCTGAGCTCACATATGCATGTTCAAATACATTTTTTCGTGAGTTTACCAATGATTCACATATGAATCACATTTACTCACACGTTCTCGGCATTTCTGTATTTCTTATTTAAACCTTTCCCCTAGTAATATGCTTTATAGAACTAAGATTACTTAATTGACCACAACATTTGCTACCCCCCGGCCATATAATCGTGTTTTTCTACAAAGCTTCAAGTGTAACAAATCTCAATATTCAGCAGAAATCCAAAACTGGCTGGAAGGTGAAATACAAGAGCCAAAAAATACTTTTAACCAATCTCTCAATGGTAATTTTAAGCCTAGGGGCATAGTTATGAAGAGTGAGGGTGAATCATTCATTTGTTTGTTATATGCATGAAATCAGCAAAGGGTTACCAAAGGACCATTGGCCCAGCAACTCCACCTACGTGAAGGTCAGGGGCTCGAGTCTCATTAAATGTGAGAAATGTGCAGTATATAAATATATATATATATATATATGTATATATTTCAAAAAGGAAAAACAAAGGGTGGGTTGGTGGCTTACAATAGAAGGAAGAACATTAACATAATGAAGATTTGAAGTAGCAAGCTTTAGCTTTTCATCTATGGGACCCCCATCCACCAGCAGAAGCTTTTTGGTTTCTTCCATTTGCTTCATGTAGCTCACAATATTCTTTGTTTTGTGAGTCGGGAGTTCTAAATCATCAAACACCAGAAGCTGCACATTGGCATGAGTTGTTTCACATCAGTTAAGCAAACACATTAATGGGTCCAATTTCAATATATATATATATATATATATATATATAGAGAGAGAGAGAGAGAGAGAGAGAGACTAGGGATCGTGTGAGAATAACAAATACGGTGAGAATGGTGAGAACACTTCAGAATCTTTGATGAGTTGACTTTTTTATGCAACTTCATCTACATTCATCTATCTTCAACTACCTTCATCTTCACTTTCGCTAACTTTTACATACATTTAATCACTTCAATATGCATGAATTTGTTAAAGCTCCGGTCATGATGATAAAAATAGGTAAATAAAGGTAGTTGAAGTTTTGTTCTTACGTTCTCACCATAACTCTTGTTCTAAAATTATAATTTTTACCCTTTTTGGTCATGCCAAGATCAATAAATTATGTGAATCTATGGAAGTTAAGATATTGACACTAGATTAACCTCTGTAACTGGCTAATTTTGTTATTTCATTCAGTGTTATGACAATTTGCGCCAAGGGCCACTCAAGTAGCTGGCATTTCAGTAACTTCAAACAATTATAGGCCTCGCCTAAAAGTTAAGTGTCTCTATTTGCTTGGTCAATAGCTAATTGTTGCATTATGCGCTTCAACAAATTTCACAGGGATAATACACTTTGGAGGTGATTTTTCCAATCGTTTCTAAGTAATTGTAACAAAGAGACAAACCATTCAAGAACATCACTGTGTCGAAATAGTTTTAGCTCTAAAATGTTATCTTAAGATAAATTATGTTCTACAAATTTCAATCAACGGTTTATGCTTCAACTTCATCCCCATTAAAGCAAGCAATTAACGGTTAGAAGGTCACTTGATCGCCAAACACAGGTTTTATTGGGTTTAAACAACAATTCAGATTGATTCATTTGGTTAGTGGCTGGTTACCTTTTTTCCATTAAGCCCTGTATGGGTTAAGTTGTATGTCTGGATAACTTTGTCTGTCTGAGGAATCGGAGACTGATGGGTTTAACGCAAGCAAAGAGAGAGGGTTGGATTATTTCTAGGGCATTTCTGGTATTACTTTGTTTGAGGTGGCTCAACGGCACAGGTGAGGGGTCGTGGCTTATTCCATATAGCCATTTTGGCTTAATACTTTAACGATTAAGCCATAAAGGAAAACTCCTGTATGGCTGAGCGAATAAGCCGCCCAGACCATTAAGCTTTACACAGCTTAATGGCTGCTGATTCAATTATACAAGAGATTTAAGCCCTTGCCTCCTAGGCCACTTTTTATAACACTGGTTATGGCTTAACAGGGACTTGCATTGTACAAGTCACAAGTAATTATTTATGCTATACAAACAACACGGGGGAAAAGACTTGCCTTCCCTTCGGCTGCACGAGCAGATAGCGCAATCTTAAGCCCTAGCCTCCTGACCTTCTTGTTGAGCTTAAAAGCATGACTGCGAGGCTTTGGCCCATGCATAACAGCACCATGCCTAAACTGTTGACCATAATTTCCAAACATTAGTATCAAAGAAAACCTACCAAGACGATATATATATATACACACACACACATATATATGATGGTAAATTAATTACCTGAGGTCCACGTAATGTTCCATGTCTTGCTCGGCCAGTACCCTTTTGGCGCCATGGCTTTCTCCCCGTACCACTAACCTCACTTATAGTTTTTGTTGAATGAGTTCCCTGTCAAATACTCATAACTCTCAATGAAGTACAAATTACTTATGAAATAGAGAATTTTAAAATACAAGACCAACGTCCTAGTTGTTTTTGGGGGCTTGGTTGACAATTATACTTATACCCTCCGGCCTGAGCCATGACTTTAGGTTATCACGAGGGATGGAAATTGTTCTAATTTTGGGTAATAAATAACTTTAATTTCAATGTCATGTCGGTAAGTTCAACCATCTTCTGAAATTAAGTTACAATATGGAGAAATCTTAACATTTCCTTTTTCGGCAAAGTCTCGATAAAAAACAATTACCTCTATGTTCATTAGTGATGATTATAAATATTGATAGCATTGATCTGGTCCAAAAAGTTCTCTATTTTTTGTTATCAAGTGGTATAATAAATACTTATCCATAAGTTAAGCGCAACATTCACGGTGTCAACGAGGGAGTATACACATAGTTAATGCAACTTGAATATAACAATATTATATTCAAGACAAAATGAAACAACCATAAAAATGGAAAACTCCAGAATGGGTTTCTAAAATACAAAAACCAAAACCATCAAAATTTATCCGAGGATTTGACAATTTACAATGGACACAGTAAAGGAAGAAAAAATTTCGAATGAAAGACTTGTGCCGGGTAAATAAAGCAATGAACAAAAAACCAAGGGGTTAAAAATAAATTAACTTAGTAAACAAATAAGATAAAATGAAAAGTGATGTTTTTTATTGACCAAAACAAAGAACCATGAGAGGTAAAGCAAGATAGACGGCCATAAGGATCTCATATATAGAATACACCATCACTAGTAGCAGTAGGTAGACTTTCAAAATCAAATGTGGGCTTTGCTCCTATGCCTCATGGTCATTCACTTTTTTGAGCATAAACAGAAACATGTAACTATCATCATCTAACAGCCACGTTTGTTAGCAGCTCAATGAGCTTAATGAGACTCGCAGCTTATTCGATCAGCTATACATGACTTAATGATATAGAAAATGGCTTATTCAGTAAGCTTTTAGGAGGGAGTTTTATGCAGAAAGCCATGTTTTTTTTCCAAACCTGTCACTCCCCATTAAAAGATATGCTCCTTCCATTTATAAAAAAACCCTCCCAAACAAAACAGATTAATCCACACAGATAACTCTATCAATACAGGATTTAATGGAAAACCAACCAAACAGCCTCTAAGAATGCGCCACATATAGCTCAGAAGGGATTACAAATCTGTCTGGTTAGAGTTTATAATACCTGTTGTCGTTTTGCAAGCTGCCATCTTACAACACGGTGAATAATATCCTTCCTAATGGGCATATCGAAAACATCACCTGCTAACATCATGAATCCTTTATCTTCGTTGTTAAAATTTGTGACTGGAATCATCAGGTCCTGTAATAGCCCTGTGTGATGATTCAGTAAACACATCAGCATGCATACAATTATATCAGGTAGATTTGATAATTTCATTTTACTGTTGCTTAATTTCCTAATTGGTGATTATATGAAGTATAAAGCAATTGGTACAAGACAGCTAATCCACCGCAATTGTTGTGCGTAAAGCAGCAATGACTATCTCAATATAAATGCTACTCCCTCGTCCCAAACTAAATGCAACAATTTTCTTTTGGGATGTCCCAAAATTGATGCAATATTTACCTTTTTGGCAAAGTTTCTATCAAAAAGCACCTCTTTGTCCATTAGTCATCATTATAAAAGATTGATACCACTAACACTGATCCAAAAGATGCATTTCTTTTTGGGACCAGGATGTACATTTTATTTATTAGGAAGTTCTATAAAATGTGACGTTGACCATTCTCCTGTCCCCGATGACCGGTCACACTTCTACCCTCCTCATCATAGCTGCCATCCTTTCTTAACAGCCATCACCATTAAAATGTGACGGAATGAAGAAGTAAAAGATATATCTCCAAAATAACAAAATAAAATGGAGAGAAGTCAAAAGTTTCTCTAGGAGTGAAACCGTCAGGGATTGTTTAAATGCATACAACGTAGTTGAACAACTAGACTGGTTATGTATTTTAAAAATATTAAAATGTTGCTGTGATATCATATGCTCTATAAGACCACAATATGCCAGACGATACGATCAAGAAAAATTTGGATGCTTGAAAATTAACAGAAAATCTTGTTCATGACATAAGGTCACAAATGAAAAGGACTACCTGACCAATGTCAGGTAATTGTGATCATTAGTTTAATTCAAACAGATTTTGGAAAAATTGATTGAGGGTGTAATCAAATGAACACAAACGATAAAACAATAACTGATGGCAGGACTGGATTAGACAAGTAACTCGTGAATTCTTGTGCTCCATAGAAACTCATTTATGGGAGAAAAAGTATGATAAACAAGACATTTTTGCTGACTTTCAATGTCATAAACTTTTGCCTACCTCATCATCATTCTACATATGATCATAACTCTTGAGGTTTTTTATTTGTATCTGGTTTATCCTAATTCCCTAATACACAACGTGACAAGCCACTTGGGTGGACCGTATCATATATATACATTATCTTCATCCAAACTTTCATATTCTTGACCAAAGTTGTTATAGGCTCAACGCACACTTAGAAGCAAAGGGGTCCCGGGGACTAGGCATGAGGCACAGGCCTCAGGAATGTGAGGGGCATCTCATAGAAACAAGTATATATGACACACACACAATTATACACAACTCAAATATGTAGCAAGTACTTCAGTGCAGCAACCAGCAATACTTTGATAGAGTCAGAAGGGAGAAGGGTTTAAAGCGGGGCTAATCATAGATTTAAGACCAGTTTAAGTAAAATTGAACTATATACACACAATATGCAGCTCCAAATAAATCTAATATGTGAAAGTAAGGGTGTATTAAACACTGAGACCATGATACAGTACAACATATTTTCTTTTCTCATTAAGACTATGGCAAAGATAAACTGGCCAGGAAGGATTAGAAGATGCTACCACTAACAAAATGACAGTCCCTCCCATATGACAGTTTCATGATACTAGCTAGGTGGATAAAAGAGGAATGTTAAGTGCAATCACAAATACAAAAGAGATGGAGAAAAAAATTGATAGCTATATAAACACCTTTATCAACATCAAGCACGCCATCACACATTCTTTACCATAAAACAACCCCCACAAAATTTCATGATCCCATTGCGGTCCAATCATCATACATTTTTTGGTCGTGAGGTTAGATACTCGGTTGAGACAAAGAGACGTGAATTGAAGTCGTGAGTCGTGAATCTTTACCTTTTTCTTCAAAGTAGAGGTGCAATTAAAAGAGCATCAAATGGAGAGACATGCATTGGTCGTGATTATATTCGGAAACACTGAATAGAAAACTTAACCTAAACAAGAGCCCAGCGATTTGAGCTCAACACTAAATAACTCTACTAAAGTAGAAAAGTCAAGCAAAACAAAATCACAGTTTTACCACCACTATTGCAACAGAAACTGCAGTCAAAATGCAACGAATAGCGCTGTTACTTCGCACCCACTATTCTCCAGAAGACCGCAAACCGCTATACCACCCTATAGCAGCGTAAATAACAGCATAGTTTAATATACGTACCTATATCACGTTCAGAAGTTGAATTTTGTTTTCTGGATAGTAGATCAGGTGGGAATGAAGCTTCACTAGTAGACAGCCCTCGACTGCCCATCAAAGGAAACCCTGTCTGCATTAAATGTAGAATAGAATTTATTGATATACCAAAAGCTCAATCATCCACCCTAGCAAGAACTTAAATACATGTCAAATGAACTAATCAAGTGAACCTGAAATAACTTCTTGACAAGAACTAGAAATACTAAAATTCCGGCAATATGGTGCAGCAAACAACAGTAAAACCATAAACCCCTTCAATTTGTGGAAGAATACCAAAAGAATAGGCAACAAATCAAGCTCACATTTAAGAACGCAAACAATATGTTAGTGTTCAAACATGACACGAATTGAACTGTCCTGGTCATATTAGGTATTTGTCAGGTCAAAAGAGTTATTCTTAAGAAAGTTAGAGAACAAATCAAGTACAACAACTTCATATGGAATTCTATTTTCATGAGAATAAATAACTCTTTCATTTTGTTGCAACATGCAAAGATAAAGACTCGGGGATACAGTCCTGCAATATCTGGGTAGCAGGATCCAATAATTGGAAAAGTTAAGGTGCATTTACATATGTGTGCGTGTGCACGCGCAGGCATATGAATCTATGTGTGTGTATCTATGCGTGCCACAAGGCATAATATTTAAGCGTAAAAACAAATCAACAAAAGAAGAAATTATCTCAAAATTTGTTAACTAAGAAACATATTCAAGCTCAACCCTTATCATGTTTGTACTTTTACTTTGTGTGTCCTTATTAGTTTTACAAAGAGAAAAGAATTTGTTAGTTAGCTATGCCAAGCATAAGATGTAACAAAGTCTCCATTATTGAGTTCATTTTCTTTTTAATATTCATCTCTCCATTTCAGCACAAATCATCCCCCCACTAACCCAATTCTCTGGCGCCCTCTATCTCATGGTCCACAATTTAGGATAGGGCCTATGCTGTTATAGCGGTGAAAATACAAAATTGCGGTCAGGACCGATATTTGAAATAGCGGTTGTAGCGGTGGTATAGCTGTGGTATAGCGGTCCAAAAATAGCGATTCAAATAATATTTCTTAGAACTATATAATATATATATGTATATGTATGCATACATAAACATATCATATGCATTAATTAAAAATATGGTTTCAACATCAAAAATATCAACTTAAACAAGTTTCACAAAACAAAATAGGAAAAATGTTCATAAATGAGCTAATAGCAAGCAATAGGTTCAGCATCCGAGTCAACATAATTCTAAAGAGGCCCAAGCTTAAATATCAGAATATCGGTCGGCAATTTCACCTCAAATATTGGTCAATTGTGCCGCTAATATTGGAAACGCAATTTTCACCGCAATTTGACCACCGCAATTTTATCTTAGTCTTCAATCCACTATTGCAGCGCAATAGCGCCGCAATTAACAGCATAGGATAGGGCCAACATTACACCCAACGTCCATTCCCAAAACCCAATACATCCCACATCATCATTCTATAAGGGGGTAAAAACATCCATTCTTCCTACGCTTTTTTCTTAAATTAATCAATTAAAACTAAGATAAATGTCATCAACAAAATTGTATATGAATAAGAAAAACAGTATTATATTATAAGTTCTGATCAAATATTCGAGTTACTGCAATGAACATAACCTTCATAGTGAGACAATAAGGCTGGGGATAATTATTTGGTGGTTGTAGTCAGACCCATTGGAAATAAGCACAAGCAAACCTATTACTTACCATTGAGAGGAAAAAGAACACCCAAACCTACAAATATTTCATCTTACTAGTTACTACAGCAAAGTTCAAACAAAATAAGTATCCTTCCATCCTTCCCAAAAATTAAGCATCTTCTTACTACAGCAAAGTTCAAACAGAAAAGGATGATCGAGTTTGGGAATCTACAAGTTTAGAAGTTCATGCAGGAGAAACTCTATGGAAGTAGAAGCTGAGAGTACTCTTTATGTGGTTTGGAAGTCTCCAGGGTAGAATTAGAATATTATATGCATGCACAATCTTCTGCTTAGTGTCTTAGTTAACCATAGTTTCCTCATGAGTTTGATATTTCAAATTGTGGGAGTTAATGGCCACATACGACATACCGACATGGTCACATCATCCAGAAGGCGTTGGTGATACTTTCATATACCAAAGAGGTTATCATGTGGGAACTTAACAACTAATTTTGGAAAGAACTTCAGTTTGAATGTTGATTATTGGACTCCTCACTGAAGCTAAGACGTTTTTATTTGTATAATAGTCGGCATGCATAATAGGCTAAAATTTAGATTTCTAGTCAAAGTTAAGACTTGCAAGACCACTGTTCCACAATCAAATAAAAATTTCTAACTGCAAAACCCTCGAGTATAAAGCAGATAGAGAACCCATAGGCATATTGAAACAAGACTTGCCACTAGTAGAAGCATAAAACACTTCACAACACCTTACGAAGCCTTAAACTATCGATCTACCACCCGTGGAAGTACAAGATCTGCTATGAAAGCTAAGAAAAACATAAAGATACTACATAAAACTAAATTAAGTGTTAAAGACGGTGTCTAAAGAACGATAATAGAAATGATTTACCTGTCTAAAGATTGGGTAGTCCATAGAGGATAGTTTACCACCAATGTCATGACAACGCAAGGCTGCATGCAGAATTAGAAAATAGATAAGACCTAAAATTATTGAGTTACTATAACAATCAAGTGATCAACACAAAGAGACTTTTACTGATGGAATAAGTATTTCTTACCAGTAGAAAGAGTGTGGATAGATTGGTGCACAACATCCTGATGATTACTCCAATGGAGTTTATAACTTGTCCCCAGAGTGTGTAAAAGCCTCCTGGAACACGGCAAGGCCATGCTACTAACAAAAAAGTAGAAGGTATTAATGTAGCTTTAGAGACATGTAAACAAATTTCAGCAGAAGTAAGCCCAACATCTATATGGGATAAGCATTATATCTTAATACCATGAACAATTAGTACATTGTCAAGCAAATTATATCTAGAACTAATGACTATCGTCAAAGGTGCATTTGGGTGTGGATGGATTTTGTTTTTTAGAGACATTATTATCCCTTCAGAACAGGGACAGAGCCAGGAATATAACCAATGGTGATCCTCCTAAATTAAATAAATCAAATAATCATTGAGATTAGATATTGTTAAATATTTATCCATAGCTGTTGAAAGATAAACTGATTAATCCTTTTTTTTTATTAACCTGGATATCCAACCCGCTATGCGAGCCGACAATTCCCAGGACGACCACCTGCTTTGCAGATAACCCGGAGTCACCGCATTTGAACCTCCGTGGCCACAAGGGGATTTTTATTCCTCCTTGGATTTTAACCTGGGACCTCCTGGTACTTTTGACCTTTGGAGTCAAGCTCAAACCAATCATGCACCACCCTTGTGGTTAAAAAACTGATTAATCCTTGAGATCACATAAAACACACAATTAAGATGAAATCCGCAATTTTCTTTCCAAGTCTGTTTGAAATGATTTTGATAATGGACAACCAGGGGTGGACCTATGAGGGACTGGGCTGGATCCCTTGCAACAGCTCAACTGATTTTCACAAGTAAAAACATATTTGGGTATGAAAGATGCACCCGCTAAAATTTGAGCAGTGCTCAGGGATATAGAAAGTACAATTAATATCAACGAAAAAAACCCAAAGAAGCCCTTAGAAATCAACCAAAATCCCCAAAAAGTCTCTCGAAATCAAACCGAAAAAAGTCCTTGTAATCAACCAAAAAACTTAAAAAAATCCCAAGAAATCAACCAAAGAACTTAAAAATCCCTCAAAATCAATCAAAAACCTTAAAAGAGTCCCTAGAGACGGTGGAATTTGGCTAAAAACACATTGGGCGATTTTGGAGGCCTTTGTTACACCTTAAAGGTGCATCCGCTCGGCAAAAAAGGACAAAAATCCAGTGGTTAGAGAACAAGAGAAGCATATCTAAATAAAAAATGCATTCTACACAACATAATCTTGAAAACAAGTTTTAATAAATAGTGCAACATAATATTTAAAACATAACAGAAGCTTAACCTCGAATAAACACTATCAAATTGCATTAATCATATGTCAATTTGCCCAACATATTACAAATCCATAAAAAAACTCTCAATTTGCATTCAATTTATGTCTAATTTGCCTAGCTTTCTTCTGCTCAACATACATTCAAATAAACCTATTCTACGATTTGTTAAGAAATGGTAAAAACCACCAAACCCATTTGTTAACAAATGGCAAAAATAAATAAGCCCTAAAAAGTATCGACTTACAGTGACGAGTGGTGGAACAGCCGAGGGCTAACAGCAAAGCAGGGCGGCGGAGCAGCGGAGCATACAGTGAGCAGAGCAGCAAGCAAGGGCTTGAGACCTTGAGTTGAAGATTTTGTCTCTGAGTTATGCAGGACGACGGCTCCTGCTCGAGGAACTGAGGTTGAGAGAGAGACCTTGATGGTGAGCTTTTATAGGGATTTCTGGTTTTGGTCCTTCAATTTTGTCTTTTTTAACGAAAACTTTCCTTAGATTTTGTGTATTACAAATTTGTTCCTAACGTTGAAAAATATTTCAGTATTAGTCCTCCGACTAAGGCAGTTAATTTTTTCTGTTAAGTTCAGTTAAATCAGAGGTATTTTGGTCATTTTCTTCTTATCCTTTATGTGTTTTATATATATATATATATATATATATATATATATATTAGGCAGTTAATTTTTTCTGTTAAGTTCAGTTAAATCAGAGGTATTTTGGTCATTTTCTTCTTATCTGTTATGTTATATATATATATATATATATATATATATATAGACACACACACATATATAGGTTTGGAATTACATGAGACCATTTTCGTGAAACCCGTGAGGCATTTTTTTTACACTTGAAACTTCACAGCAAAACGTTGTGAAATTAATTGCAAAATCTTTCAGTATTCGTTCCTCCGACTGCTTCCTCACGGATCTCATGAAAAACAAGTTGGTCTCATGTGAACTTAACTTTTTTCTATTAAGTCCAATTAAAAGTGTGGTGTTATGGTTATTTTTCCATATCATTTACTTTCTATTAAGAAGTATATATTATTACAGAATGTAAAAAAATTAAAACTCCCGCCCTCTCTCTGTTAGAGTTTGAAATGTCGTGTTTTTCCCCTTTGTTACTTTTTGCACCACTTATGTCCTTTGTCGCATCCACCGCCCACCGGCACTCTATTTCCTCAACCAGTCGAAGGACTAAGGTTGAGATTTTGAAGCCGGATCAGTGGGGAGAAATACTGGACTTTATAAATATTTTTGTTTTTGGTCTTTGAACTTTGTTTGTTTTAACGAAAATTGTCCTTAAGGTTTGCAAAATCTTTTGGTTTTCGTCCCTCCCACTAAGGTTGTTTATTTTTATTTTTAATTTATAAGATATAATTTTATTTATAGATTATTATATAAATTTAATATATATATATATATATATATTATAAATAATAAAAAATTTAAATGTAATTTATTAATTTTACTATTCTATGTTTATATTAATTTGTTAATTTATATATTTTGTTAACAAATTGAAAAACAATTAAAATATAAATATAATCTTATACTACAATTAAACGAAGTGGAAAATTATACAAATTGTTCTAACCTTACTTTTTTTTTATTAACCTAGATATCCAACCCGCTATGCGAGCTGACTAATCTTAGGGCGGCCACTTGCTTTGCGGATAACCTAGAGTCATCGTGTTTGAACCTTCATGGCCACAAGGGGATTTTTTATTTCTTTTTTGATTCGAACATGGACCTCTAGACACTTTTGATCTTTGGAGCTCAAGTTCAAACCAATTAGACATCATCCTTATGGTTATTGTTCCAACCTTACTTGTGTTGAATATGGGGGGAATTGCTCAATTGGTGGTCTTCTATTGGTGACGGTGATATAAACTATTCATCATTTCTTCAGACATTAATACTAATATTTTATATTTCGTTAGAAGACATATAAATATTTAAAAAATAATATAAATATAATAATATTATGAGATAATTAAAAATTAAAATTATTAGTATAAAAATTTGCAAGAAACCGAAAAAAAAGAAACAAAATAAAAATATTTTACAATAATTAATTTATATATTTTTAATCAAATTTTACTTATATGCTTTATATATTTATTAAAACAAATTAAAATAGTTAAGAAATAATAAAAACGATAAATATAAAAAATAACCACAAAAGAATGTATATGAGAACTTGGATTCTTGTTCAAGCATCTGCATTCTAATAAGAACATGTGTCTGGACAAGAACATCAGTCCCACAACAAAGGTTCTTGTAAGAACCCCAATAGGAACCTCCAATGTGAATGCTCTTAAAGCTGCAATTTTTTGTCCATACTAAAATAAAGCGTTTTTGAGAAATTACAATATTTAAAATGATTTTATATTTTTATAAAAATATTTTATTTTTTTATAAAAGTATTTTTAATAAGGATATTTGGATTTTTTAAAGGTCAAAAGATCGTTCTTCGTTTTTTATTTGTTGGAGAGTATTACCGTTTCAAATTGAAAGGTAAAATGGTTGGTTTTTGAGTCATTTTAATAACAAATTTACCCGTGTAACGAAAAAAGTAATTAAATATACGTTTTTTTAACAACATGAAAACGACATTAGTGAACTATATATCTTTGTTGTAAGGTCCAATATGTATGGTTTATGTTCTACCTTAAGGAACGACATTAGTGAAGTGACTCGAGAATAATTTTTCGTATGGACTAGCGCTACTTTGGGTAAACCACTTATATTTCACGTGAAGTATCTCTACTTTCTCTTTACATTACTTGTATTTTATACATTTTTTTTTATTAACTTGGATATCCAACCCGCTAAACGAGCCGAATAATCTCAGGGTGACCACCTGCTTTGTGGGTAGCCCGGAGCCACCGCATTTGAACCTTTGTGGCCACGGGTTTTTATTCTTACTTGTATTTGAACCTGAGACCTCTAGGCACTTTTGATCTTTGGAGCTCAAAATCAAATCAATCAGACACCACCATTGTGGCTGTACTTCATACATTTGTTGGTATTGAACTTTGAATATTATATTTAATATGGTGTTTTTTCTACTAATGATTTTTTTTTTTGCATCATCAATTATTTGGTATAGGCTTGTAGCTTAACCATATTTATTCTTTTGGATATTAGGTTCAACTGTTTTTCTTAATTTGCATATATATAATCATATTTACTGCACATATTTATGAAAACAAATTCAAGAGTTATATAGAGACGATGAAGAAATTTAAAGTATACGGAGACAGCGATGGTGTAACAGTCTAATGTACATATTAATAAGGGATTTAACAATCATATTAAATCCAAGAAAAAAAAAAGGGTATCATGTTCATCAGGTTGGGTTTTGGTTCAAATGATTGTAACTCAATTTCAACCAAATACACACGGTTTGAAGATCTTACAAAGTGATTAGGCTCGGTTGAGTTATTTTGGGTTGGGTTGGTCGGGTTTTTTGCACCCCTATTTTAGGCTATATTACAACTAAAAGATTATCTTATTTTTTTTAATTTTCTATTTAATTTTCAATTTTTTTTTTATTGAGGATTAGTTTTCAAGATGAAATAGTAATGTTTGGACTAAAAAGAATAAATTATTTTTATTAAACTAAATCTATAAGTTGATGAATAGTTGAGGGACCAAATTTGTAGTTTACTCAAAACTCTGGTTAGAAATGGATCGAATATTGGCGCCCATCTGTCTCTCTCCCTCTAGATTTGGAAGCATCTGTGGGTATCGATTGGTTCGCCATGTCCTTCCGTAAACGAACTCTGCTCAAGGTTATTGTCCTCGGCGACAGTGGGTATGTATATGATCTAGGGTTCGGTTTATGGTGGATCTCGTTTTGATTATTTTTGTTGATATTATTTGTGATTTTGTCAGGGTTGGCAAGACGTCATTGATGAATCAGTATCCTTTTAAGTTTTAATTCTTTGATCCAGATGTATATACGTATACGCGAAGATAAATCTTGTGTCATTTCTTTTATGTTCTTCAATTGTTTTGAAGAATTTGTTGTTTCTCTTGCAGTTCAGTATTTGAATTCATGTTTGCATTTGTATGTGTTCGAACTCTCGTTGTATCATTCATCTTGCGGAAGTATTAGCCGCTTTGAACGCAGAGTTAATTACTTTTAGTATAACAATGCATAATTGAAATTGGTAGTTGTTTCTCATGTTTCAATAGTATAGTGTAACTTTTGAGGTCTACATTATGCTTTAGAATATTTTTTTTTGATTAACCTGTATATCCAACCCGCTATACGAGCCGACTAATCTAGGCTGACTATCCGCCTTGCGGGTAGCCTGGAGCCACCGCATTTGAACCTCCGTGGCCACAAGGGGACTTTTTATTTCTTCTTGGATTCGAACATAGGACCTCCAGACACTTTTGACCTTTGGAGCCCAATCTTAAACCAATCGGGCACTACCCTTGTGGTTACAATTACTGTAAACAGAAATGTGAGAGTTAATTTTGTAGTTTCATGCTTTTTAGAAGAAAGAATCACACTCCTTTTTAGGATTAGAAGGTCTATTTTCAGCTTTACGGTTGATGTTGATTTTAATTTTCTAGAAAAAAGATGACAAGTACAGAAAAACTTGGCATAAATAATGTTGGAATCACCTTTATATATGTAGGGTTCTCCCCTTTCTCTATATGGTTTTTTTTAGAGAGAGAAGTAGCGGTTTCACATGTTCTAACAACTACTATAATAAATTACTAACAAATTTCATATCAACATTGCATTTGAAAAGTTGTAGGTTTGGATGGAAGAGGGACTACTTCTTGATGGCATTGTAGAACTTATAGTGGTTGATCCTTATTCCCTTCGTTTCAGAAACATGGTATAGTTTATATTTTGATCCCAACGTACATATTTTCAAGGGATTCACTATATTTAAATTTACGTTAGCAACAAAGGCTGCAAATGCAATATGCTAATGCTGAAATCTAAAGATAGATCATATCAATTTTGGATTGTAAGGTTTAACAGACAGTTTATATTGCCTTCGGAGTGAAGATAATACTTTTGACCAGGCCAAGCAACAATACCTCCTCTACTTGTGTTGTAACCTGTATGGCTGTCAGTCATACATTGATTAATAACACCACCCTGCTGCTGAAATGCACTGCTAGAAATTGATCTAAATGAACCTCATATTGGAGCATTAATTGCATATCCAGTTACACAATTGTTACACAAGGTTATGTTTTGGACAAGTTCAAAATTTTCCATCTAAGCCTATGTTCATCTGTTACACAACCTGCAGGGAGGAGCCGTACGCATGTGGCTTCTTCTTTCTCTTTCTCTCCCTTCCCCCTTAGAGATTTAGATATTGAAATTGCTGGTATGTGACTTTGAATTGTTTATCTTTTACTGCTTCTAAAGATATGTACATAAGAGATTCAGTCAACAATATAAAGCTACAATTGGAGCTGATTTTGTGACCAAGGAGTTACAGATAGATGACAAGATTGTTACACTGCAAGTAAGGTTCCTATAACTGACCACTAATTTGATATTATTCTGCATTTTGTTGATCTAAAGTCACGATATCTTTGGCTGATTAATCGGTTAGATATGGGACACTGCTGGCCAGGAGAGGTTTCAAAGTCTTGGTGTTGCATTTTATAGAGGAGCCGATTGCTGTGTTTTAGTGTATGATGTAAATGTAATGCGATCATTTGACACACTTGACAACTGGCATGAGGAATTTCTCAAGCAGGTAAAAGATATCCATTCCGGTCCATGCTTACCAGTTGCTTTGGTGATGACCTTTAAATCTTAACCTTTAATACTGTGAAGTTTGTTTGAATGATTTTGAGTAGAGTCACATTTTGTGAGAAATCGTACTGCATTAAACACTAACCTAATACTATGGTAATCACTCAAAACCTTAGATGACTTTTGAAGTGACACTGCAGTTGAAAAGGCATCAAGTTACTGCAGTTGACAAAAGCACAGAATATTTAGGCAGGAAATTATGTGTGTTTCTGAACTACTTAGCATATCCAATCACTCATATTCTTAAATATAAATTAAAGGCTCCACTTGTTTAAGTTACTGAAACTGTTCACTCATTTTCATGGTTATAACTGCTTCCAAACTGATTTTTGATATCAGTGATTTCTAGAAAATTTTCCATGTTACTTTGAATCAGATCTGATGTTTGCAACTGTTTCCACGATACTGATAAGCCTAAATTGTTAAGAAATAAATTGTTCCTGGACCTTGATCGATGTTCGAGTAACAGATATTCTGATACTTCTTTGGATATCCAACCTAACTGAATTGTAATATGTATAACCAACAGTACATATTTATGTAGAGAGGCTACGTTGAGGTTTTGGCAACTTCTGTTTTATGTCCATATTCCAACCTATGACTTCTTTCTGGTTCATGGCCAGTTGCTGCTTTCTCTTCATTTCTATCTCATCCCAATTGCAAAAAGGGCATGACAGGATTTTGGAGGGGTTGTGGACAAGACCTTATCATGTTTATATGTAAAGGAATTGCATCAGCAATAATAATCAGTCCTCAGTCCAATGTGAATGTATCAAATGGAAGAAATGGATAGAGAGCCAATGCTGCATGCTCAGGTGCATGAAGACCAACCACTAACATCTCCTATCCCTTTTTTTTTGTTTGGCTGCATAAATAGTCACCTTGGACTGTTCGATACTTGTCTTTGGATTTTTGGCATGTTGAGAACTTCTTCTTCTGCACGTAGTATATTATCTTAGTGTGTATTTTCTTTTAAAGAAGTTGTTCAAGAATCCAATTGAAAAACCCAAAAAGGTCTTTCAAGTAACTAATTAGTTGTGGACAGTCGCTTATTCATCCTTGATGACGTAGTTTTAATTTATTGTCTAATTTGTGGAACTTCACACTGCAAACAGTGTTTGCTGGAAGTGCTCCCCAAGCCTAGCACAGAGAACTGCTAAACAAACCTACCAGGGGTTTGCATGTGGATTAGGTAACACAAGCATATATTTGTTGTATTGGATTCCAGAAATCGCTTGATTTGGTGAATTACCTTGGCTTTGAGCCTATGTTTCTTGATCACCAAGCCTTTCTAATTCGTCTTAGAATTTGAATTTCCAAATTATTTTCCATTTTAACTGCTTGATTACTTTTCATTGCACACTGCATTTGGCCTGATGCCTTCAGACTTTTAAAATCCCAAGATCGACCTGACTAAATAACATTTTTATTGGTACATATTATGCAATAAATTTTGATCTGGGAAATTGCCACTTACATAGGATCTATATCAGCTACTGGCAAGTAAAATAGAAAATCCTGACACCACATCCATGACATTGATCTCCAAAGATAGATTTTTCTTCTCTAGGGATGAATTATGCTTAGGTATGGACTTAATATAAGATGCTTTTTTTTATAACTAAATAAAACCAAATGAACCCAGTATATCCCACTTGAAAGTAGGGTCTTTTTTTGGGGGGGGGGGGGTGTACGCAAACCTCTCCTTTACCCATTAAGGTAGAGCGGTTGTTTCCATGAAAACCCCCGACTTGTGAAAAAGTGAAAGGTAAAAAGAACAAAGACTAATAAAATAGCAAGTAACAAGAAAAAGTAAAGGAGTAAGAAATAGGTACGTTGAAAGATAGAAAAAGCAAGGAAAAGCACCCATCCCTCTAACTATCCTAGGACTCTGGTAGCCTATCTGCCAGTTCTCTAACCCTCCCCTCATCCCACCCTCAAGCTCTCCCACTCCCTTCTTCCTGTCCACGCTTTTAAGCAGCACTAGGGTGATTTCTCAGATTTTAGTATTTTAGATGCTGAAGTTGCAGCATATCATAGTGAATTAGCTGAATCTCCTACACACATTTCCTAATTGAAAATGTCAATGATTAAGACAAGATGAGTGGGAGCTCCAAAAAGAACTACAAACATAATCAAGGCAAATTATGTGTTATTTCTTGGAATTAAAGGAGCAGCATAACTATCCTTGGTGCATAGTGGAAGTTTTTTTTGTTATTTAATCATCTTACAAAAATGTGTCTTCTGTCTATACTTGCAGCATCATATCATAAAATTAAAAACCACCACTTAAGCTTCACTAAGCAAGAAGCAAATTTTTGGGTGAGAGTATGAGGGGCCCCTAAAGGGCTAATGTCTTTCTTCTCCATGGCTTTAAATGTGAGCAAAATTTGTATTTTGGGACCAAGTATGGGTTAAATGTAGCATAAGCATTTCATCAACTGACACTGGAAGCCTGGGAAATATAGGCTTCAGCTACTTCTAGCTGTTGAATAGTACTTCATAGTTATACAAACTCAAATGTTTTGCAGGCAAACCCATCAGATCCCAGTTCTTTTCCATTCATATTGCTTGGCAACAAGATTGATATAGATGGTGGAAATAGCCGAGTGGTAAGGCCATAAGAGTTCACATTTAATTTGTTTTAACCTACAGTACCTTCATTGCTTTTCTCGAATGAATCTGAAATTAGGTTTCTGAGAAGAAGGCATTGGACTGGTGTACTTTTAAAGAGAATATACCTTACTATGAGACATCTGCAAAGGAAGACTACAATGTGGATGCTGCATTTCTATGTATTGCCAAAAGTGCAATGGCAAACGAGCACGAGCAGGATCTGTAAGTGCAACTTAACAATAATCAACCTTCAAAATTACTATTGTTTTTATATATTGTCTGCATGAATGATAGATGTGTTTTTATGTTGACAACCAAAAACAAAAATTACAAGCTGGTTGAGGAACAACTGACTATTAGGTTTTTATGAAGGTAGTCAAAGTTTGTTACTTTTTGATGGAAAACATTGAATCTTTGAAACTAAAGGCTGCAATAGGAGGCTCTAGTACAACTATAAGGTTATCCTCCCCTGGCCCAGAAATACCGCAACTACTACTGTGGGTGTTGCCAATAGGGATCCTCCATTCCAAAAGGTTAATTGGAAATAAATATGGTACTCCCTCTTTCCCGTTGGAATCACCAATTTCATCTGTGTCCTATAATGACTTCCCTATAATAATTTTGGATTCTACATATACCTAGTATGAAAGATTGGTTATTTTGGCCATGGTCAAAAGAAGATTATGGGCCATCAATTTTGGGTTTCTTTAAGATGATTAAATGAAATGATTCAACAAAATGTTAATTTGTGCTAAAAAAAGTCTTGTATTATGGTAAGGAGTGTTAGGTGGTAAAGAAGGCACATGAGAGGAAGATGGAGGCGGATGCTTAGATGGTCCTGTGACCAGATTATTCTAAACAAAATACCAAAGGAGGTCTTCAGAGAGGAGTTGAGAGTATCGCCCATCACAAATAAAATGAGAGAGGGAAGATTGAGGTGATTTGGTCACGTTTGCAGGAGACTGATGTCGACACCAGTGAGGAGGGTGGAGAGCGTCATGGTCGAGGGTGTGAGGAAGAGAGGCAGGCCTAGGAGGATGTAGGATGAGCAACCGAGACTGGACATGACAGTTTTAGACATTCCGGAACACATGAGCTCAGATAGGAGTCTTGGAGACACAAGAGTAGGACACCAGATTGTGTGCAAGGACTTTTGGCTAATGGAGACGAGGGAGGGGATGGAGGAGGGTTAGACCCTAGGATGTATAGCTAGGTATCAGAACCCTAGGTTGGTACGGGGGCGTCGTCTGTGCGAGGCAACATTGTGGTTGTACTTGCTTTTTTTCTACTTCTTCAACCCTTCAATACTACATTTTTTTTGATCTATTTCTTATCCCTTACTTTTCTATCAACGTTTGGGATCATTACTTATCCATAAAATCCTAAAAAATTACAAGCTGGAGGCTCACACGGAAACAACCTCTCTACTACTTAGGGTAGAGGTAAGGTCTTCCTACATCCTATCCTCCCCAGACCCTTCTTCGTGTGAGATTCCCTGGGTTCATTTAGTTTGGTTTATGGAGAAGTAAAGACCTCAAAACTGAGATCAGAGACACTTGAGAGAAAAATATATGTGACAACAGATCCAAATACTTCTTATTTCCTTCCCTTTATTTCACTTTGTGAGATGCCTTAATCTAGATACTTGCTATACTTCATTGAACTATATATTAGTTGATGTGGTGATTCCCTGGGTTCACTTAGCAAGTGATTTTATATAGGTATGATTATGATGTTTTGTTCTCAAGAAACGGCCTTGCATATTAGTCTTTCTTGTCAATGGAATAATATTCTGCTAAAATTATTTATGTAGTGACTAGTTCATTTTTGAGGTAAAGGACAGATCTGCTTACATCTCAGACAGGATATAGGATCGACTTGGATTGTTTGGTTCGGTTTCCTCCAGTTCACTTTTGTGGATTTTATATCTGTCATATCTATTTGGTTCTAAGAGTCTGATACTTGAAGGGAAAAGATCGACGAGAAGCATCTAAATGCAAGTAAACAGAGAGTAAAGAGTGCGGTAGGAGAGCCTTGGACCTAAAAGCATCTAAATACAAGTAAACAGAGAGTACAACGGGACCACCCTGTGGCATATTATGCCCGAAAAGGAGCAAGAAATTTTAAGGACCAACAGCCCTGAAAGGGCAAAAAGACCCAACGGAGCAACAACACACATGGTCCACAACAATCCCAAATGAGCTAGGAACCCGATGGATGAACAACTAACATGATTCATAACTAAACCACGTGGTTCCTGCAACAACTTTTTGAAGGCATCTTCAGGATTAGTTAGGGACCATGTGGATTATTGCTCTATTGGGCTCATCAACCTTTCAAGGTTGTTACTAGTCACATTGGTTGTTGCTCCATTGGTCTCTTCGTCTCTTAAGGATGCGTTTGGTATGTAGACTGGATGGGACAAAAAAAAAATAGTCCCATGTTTGGAATAACACATAAGTAGGAGGTGGGACAAAAAGACTCCTTTTTGTTCCACGGAAAAAGGAAGAAAACCTTGGACAAAACGTAAAAAGGCTTATTTGCCCTCCAAACAATACAAAATCTAAAATCGAAAACACAATCAGATTCATCTTTCTCTAAAAATCTTGATATAACACTCCTCTCCTCCAAATCCTGATTGTAACTCTTCACTCCTCCAAACTTGTTGCACTTTTTGGTGTAGTTTGCACATTTCATATGTTTGCTGGTATGTTCCAAAAAGTTTGAATCTAAAAAACAGAACATAAAGTGATATGAAGTTCCAAAATAATAATATTACCATTTGCTATTTATTGCAAGCAAAACTGTTTACTTTCCATTTCGTTTTTTATAAAGAAAAGCTTGCTATGAAATCTACAACTTCAGACTTGGGACTTTAGGTTCTATTACTAGACCATTTCCACAGTTGTATTTCTTAGATCGTGTTAGGAGAAACAAAAATGAGATTTTTGCATCTAATGCATAATTAGGAGGGGAGCCCCCAAAATGGAGGTAAATGCTGTACAAAATTCTATTTTAGTTTGTCTCAAAATAAGCGTCCACTTTCTAACTCTACCTTTAACTATTTTCTAACTCTACCTTTAACTATGAGATGAAAAGATTTATTACTTCGTCTAGTATTAAGAGTAAAATTACCATTTAGTTGCATAAAAAGTGTAATAATTATGGCATTTCTAATACTGCATACATTTTTCATTATTAGACATTTATTTTGGGACGGGGTGAGTAGCATATTTTCGCAATTCTTGGTAGTATGTAGGCTATATGACATTCTTCAATCATTCAAAGACCAAATCAAACCAAATGAGCCCAGTATATCCCACCTGGATGTGGGGTGTGGCACAAACCTGATATCTACCGCAAAGAGTAGAACAACTGTTTCGTGCATTCTTTAATCTTTATAATCTTTTTTCATTTTATTTTCATGTTCAACAGATACTTCCAGGGCGTCCCAGATGCCGTAACAGAAACAGAACAACGTGGTGGCTGCGCATGCTAAATTTAACACGGGTTCTGTTTCATCTCCTATGCTTTTGTTGCTTATTCTTTTTTACTACCATTTTTTGCTGTTGATACTTGCCATTTTTTGTACCTAAACAACACGAGGCTCCCGCAACAGCTGCACGCATGCACCACATGTTTGCGGTTGCTGTTAATATCAAGTAGTTTTTCTCTGTTTGCCGAGACACTAAAATGTAGGATCTTTGTATCTGATGATTGCCTGATCGGCCAAGTTTTATGCCAGTTTTTTTATCTATTCACACTTTCTTTTTTTGGAAAGTTGTATTTCAGTTTTTGCTATGTTTTCATGACTTCTGAAGATGATAATGTTTATGTTGAGGTTGGTTTGTTTTAGTCCTGATGATTGCTTACATGTTTTATTACCCCAGATTTTGCTGCTTGTTACTCCGTCTGTACTAAAATAAATGTCTACATTTCTATTTCAGTTTCTTTCAAGGATAAGTGTTTACTTTCCAATTCTACCCTTAATCAAGGGATGAAGAAAATCCTCCCTGTTATTAAGGGTAAAACTGACTTTTTGCTAATTCAAAATTCATTGTGACATTTATTTTGGGACGGATCGAGTACTATTGTGGTATAAATCTTGGGGTTATTATTGTTGGAGTCCCACATTGGTTATACTTGTACTTCTCTCCTTCTCCTTCAATATATGTTATAATTATTATTCCCACAACGCACAAGTATTAACTACTTAAAGTTTCATGTTTGAATTTTATAAAATTAAGGAGCCGTTTACCGAACGCTTACTTGGGTAAGTGTTTACCAAATCATATTACCTAACCGGATGAATATGGCAAGGACCAATAATCTTACCTTGTAAGAGCGAGACAAGAACCAAGAGTCTTACCCGGTAAGTGAGAGCAACGACTCTTATCACGGTAGCGATTATCGGATAAATTGTTGCATGCGATGTCATTTTGGTGAACTAAAATCTTACCCGATAAGTAAATAGTAATGCTAAATTTTATTGGTAAACACTTACCAGGTAAGTATTTGATAAACAACCCCTAAGTAATATACTGATTAAAATACAAGATAAAAATTGAATCCTACTAAATAACAGAATAATTCATTAATTTTGGATTTTCTTTTTAAATAAGGAAATGTATTAATTTTCTATTCTTGGTTTATAGTAAAGTTTTACATCATAGTGAAATGTATAGGTACAAAGTTAGTTAAATGTAATGCATTTTAAATCATAAAACTTTTAGTGTGAATATTTTATGGTTCATGTGGAGTCATGACATCCAAAATCTTGCTTTTATAATGTATTTTTTTTATTAACCTGGATATCTAACTCGTTATGCGAGCCGACTAATCTCATCATGTAATTTTATTAGATACAAAGTTCTTGGATATTCAATGGAGGGTAAGTAAAATAGGTATAAATGAATACCCCTTAATTCACTTTTCCTTACATTTAAATGAAAATAAACAAATAGAAGGGAAACAAAATGTGAGAGGAAGTAAAAACAAGGGTAGTTTTGGAAGAAAATGAAAGTAAGGGGTTGTTTACCAAACTTTAACCGGATAAACACTTAATGGGTAAGAGTCACCACTCTAAACTTATCATATTGGATAAGAATCGTGGCCATCAAATTGCGGATTGCTCGTAAGTGTCTCTTTATCTGGTAAAGCGCTAACAGGGTAAGAGTCACTTACCTAGTATCTCTTACAGAGTAAGATTCATTGTGCTTGGCATACTCATCCAGTATGGTAAGTGATTGACGCAGGAGAAAATTGTGCAAGAGTTAACGCGCTTCTGTAGATAATTATTATTTCATTGTCCTAAAAATTTAGTATACACCCAAAAGATAATGAGTTAGGCAGATGTAAGACTTGGAAAATTAAGAGAAAACTCTTAAAACTAGAGAAATTTTTTTAAAGATAATTTTATTTATCAATGATAAGCTTTATATTAATGAAAACAAATAAACCTTATTTATAAACTAATCTAACTAGAGGGATATTTGTTTACTTCTTAATGATGCCTTTAGGAGGTAAAAGTCTGATTAGGTCAGTCATTTTATTGTTTGGATGGGTTTGTAAAAAGGTCTGAATGATTAAATTAAATCTGAATCGCTCCTTCACCTATCTGCCATCCATACGATTCAAATATGGGATTTTTCCATGTTTGCCTTCCCTCGCCACTTCATTTCTCTCGATTCTCCAATCGTCCCTCCAGTCTCTCCTTCCTCTCAGTTCTCCCTCCTCTCGATCAATCACCAGCCTCTATAGGAAACGCACCAACAATGCACCTATTTGTAACATACCATAAATTCATAGGTAAGACCTCTCGATTTCGTAAAATTGATTTGATGGTGGTACAAACTGATTCACTAATTCATGCAACTGGTACAAACTGATTTCTGATTCAAGTGATTGATTCAAATTGATTCTTTCCTTAATTGTATCTATTTCAACAATAGTCCTAATTTATTTGGTCTTTATAAAAGTTATGCAAATGTTCTTTAGGCACATTCATAATCTTGTCTATGCACACATATGTTGAAATGGATGATTAAACAACCAACCTTGTTTATGCAAATGTTCTTTAGGCACACTGCTATTCAGCACTGTTGTTTAATGCTTCCTTAGTGCAAAAGGGATGTTAAAATGGTAAACACAGCCCAAAGACATGATTAAACAACCAATAAAAACAAACATTCTTTAGGCACATTCTAGGATTTTGTGGTATCTATATGCATATCTCTAGAAGCAGAAATGTATGCAACTTAAAATAAACTAGAATATGTGGTATCTATGTATATCTCCCTAAAAGCAGAAAAATGTCAAATTTGGTTGAAATGGACATCCAATAGAGAGCTAATGACAGGGTTGCCTTAAAAAGAAACTTTAAGTGGTAAAGAAGGTGGTCCTTACACGGTGTCAGGCTTTTCTCATGATCTTAAATATCAACATAAATAACATCCCAAACTTGAATGATATGCAACAACGTAACTAACTTGCAGTAAACCATTAGGTAAGACACCAAATGCTCAACATTTGTACTTTTAAATCTACAACTCTGAATCATTTATGGCTACTTGATCATTTCTAGTCATTCACTTGCACATTACATTACAAATATGCCCAAAACTTGGGATGTCTGATTTAGTCAAACAATTTTTTACATTTGAGTTTTTATTTTATCAATACCACTTAAACAAGAACAAGATCAGTACATGATGGCAAGGATTAGTAATAGTTATCAGAAGGATTGCACAGAGTTGAGAGGTTGTTTACTTATAGATTAGTTACAAAATAGCAATCTACTTTCATGTTTTCTAATACCATTAACTTGCCTTCTCGTGTGACTTACACATAATCACTCTAGCCTTTAAATGTTAGTGACAATGAGATTGGACATTGTTTGAGCTTGGCTCCAAAGGTCAAAAGTGCCAGGAGGTCTCAGGTTCAAATCCAAGAAGGAATAAAAATCGTCTCGTGGCCACGGAGGTTCAAATGCGGTGATTCCGGGCTATCTGCAAAGCAGGTAGTCTACCTGGGATTAGTCGGCTCGCACAGCAGGTTGGATATCCAGGTTAATAAAAAAAATGACATTGGACATTGCACTATTGTGAATAATTTTTTTTATGTTAAGGTATCTGCAGATATGAAAAAAAGTTGGAGGTAAAAAAATTTATATACATAAACCCTCTGATTTGTTTACCCAAATAACCCTTTGATTTGTTTTCTTAACCAAATTCTATACATAGCATGCTATGTTGAAAAAATTTACATTAACTTCTTGCCAAATCAGCAATCTGCTAATAACATTTCAACTTTTTGGTAGTTAAAATGGGAGTTGGGTGAATGGTGATTACTTCAAAAGCACCAGTAAATATCCAACGAAGTTGATTTGTCTTGAGCCATGGTATAATTGGTGATAAAATGCTTTTGATAGGGGATTATAAGAGATCTTTTATATGTGGTCCCTTGTTAGGATTTCAATCTTGATTTGTTATACGTCATCATTTGTAAGGTGGACATTGTTGGTGATGGTCCATAATCAAAGAGACGTAGAATAAACTGGAAAAACAGGAATGTGGTGCAAACATTTCTTGAAGCATATACATGAGGTCGTTATACATAGATGAGATGGCACCAGTCTAAGCCACATTCATGGAAGAATGTTGTGGAGATGCTTAAAAACAAACATAACTTTGTCGCAGATCAAAAACAAATGAAAAACCATTATGATTATTTGAAAGCCAAATACAATGCATGGCTGAGACTGAAAAACAAAGCATGCAACGTGCATGATCCAACAACTAACACGTTTAATCTAACTGATGAAAATGACAAATAGAAATTGAGGTATCTTTATAATTTTATATTCTTTTTTATTTGGTATCTTTATAATTTATTAATATAATATTTTTTAAAACATAGAAGCAAATATGTAGAGCCAATTAGGAGTACAATAGTGCTTTTTCCCAATCTCTGTGTTCAACTATTTGATGGAGTTCAAGTAACGGGAACTGAAAGTCATGGGTCACGTTCTGGTATTCCCGACATTTTTGACCCACTTTATGATCAATTGATTGAAGATGTTGAGGTAGTTCCTAATACTCAACAAATCCCCACCCACTCTAGGACAAGAGTGTGATTATCGTCCAAGTACACAAGCAAGTAAAAAAGCAAAAAGGTAAACAAGCAAGTAACTCACAAGTTGAAGAAGATATTTCTAAGACTGTGAAAGCAATCATGGAAAAATATTCGAATGATGTGTCTGCTTGCTTGGCAAAGTTGAATGAACTTGGATGGGGAACATATCACCCGTTGTACCAAGTTACTACTTTTATCTTTCATGAGAGTGCCGATTATAGGAAAATGTGGTTGTGTTTAAAGCCGGAAGGTTGTGCGGGTTAGGTTAGAAAGATAGAATAAAAGTATGGGATCGTGTAGTCGGAGCATATTATGCTTTTGAACATTGTGTTTTGATATGATGCAAGCTTCTGAATGATGTTTTACTTTTAAACACATAACTTTTGGATGATGTAACTATTGAATATGCTTTTGAATGATGCAACTTTTGAATGATGTTAACTTTCGAATGAAGATGTTTCTTTGATATGATGTTAACCTTTCATCTACATTATGTAATTCTTTTATTTGCAAGGTGCTCTATGGATGTTGAGGAAGAATTTTTGTTTTCATTACTTTTTGGTTATATCTGAAACAAAAAGCTACATCAAGAATCAAAAGGATAAGAGATAACAAATCATCGTTGAC